ATTCACCTATCCTGTTTAGCAGACAATTGGCCCAAGGATAGACTTCATTTGTCTCTCTGACGAATTGTACTTTGGGGCTAAAAATGTCAAAACCCACTGACGGTGCCGACTACGATGCCGGCAAAACATGTGGAAATCTGCTAATTCCACGGTCCGACTCTGGAAGTTATAATGCATACTGTGGACTGTGGACATTGTGCGTTAATCTAGGTCAACCTGACAATATGGCCAAGTTGCGAAAACAAGGTACAATAAATAAATCATCATAGTAATTATTTGACCTTGTTTTCACAACTTTGTCATATTGGCACGAAGAGCTAGAGAAACACACCTTGTCTGGGGTCCATAGTATGCATGGTAATTTCTAGAGTCGTACCGCAGACAGGGTATATTATGGACTCCCGACAAGGTGAGTTCCTTTAAGTCTTCTTGCCAGTATGACACAGTTGCGAAAAAATGGTCAAACAACTACTATACAATGAAAGGAGACCATAAAAAAGGCCATGCTATCTTGGTCTTCATACGTTCGATTGGTTACTATAGTTTTCCGTTTCATAAATAGATATTTAAGTTTTCAATTGGATCCGATATAAATATTGTATTGACCCTATTTCGTTGAAGGTGATGAAGGGTTGGTAGTTGAATTTTTCCCTAAATCCCATGAATAGGCCTTATGTTTCTATTGTATTTCACATAGCCTTATTTCTCAAGAGGTATTCTCATCCAGGCTGAAGTGGAATGCCGTTTTGACCTATCCTAGATTTCATCAGTGCGGACCCCCAGTTGAAATTGAAACATTGAAGTGTTGTGTAATATCTCGGCACGTTAACCATTGGAGTCCACTTAAGCTTGAATGATAATACCTTTTGATAAGCTAGAGTATATGCAATTAAATGGATCATGGGGTCTAGTCATATCATTGTGGGAAAGTTCAATTATCATTTCTTTATTATTTTAAACTAAATTAGGGGAATACGGCTCTTGTAATAGTCGCATTAGGCTACTTAATGTGATTTAAGGACTGCTTGTTGAGTTTTCTCACAATTAGGTCAGCAAGCCTAATTTTTTCATTATATTTAACTTAGCCCTGCACACAAAAATGCTATCTTCTCCAGTCTGCACGCCAATTTCTACCTCGTCCGAGTCTCATCAGCACCATCAACTAAAAGTAATTCGGGGTCTGCGTCTTTACAACTACCCTACACTCCACTATCAGTCTTTGCATAACTTCAAAGTGATCCAGGTTTATTAAGGTCTTATTTAATAATTATTGATAGTTTTAATAATTTCTATTACCTACAATAAGTAACAATGCTGCCTGAAAAATCAAAAACATTTGCCTAACTGGCTATTCCATTATAAATATGCTTTTCCTTGAATATCATTTCTAACCTGTGAACCACAGTCGTCTGCCACCATTCAGTGGAATGGCACGGTGTCGAATCTCGTTTGGATGCGAGATCGAACCTGCAGTTTAGATCAGCAAAACTACGTAAAATTCGATCGAATTCTCTGGCTTGCTCATCTCAACCTTCAATCATTACATTACCTTAAGCGACTTTGGCGAACTAAGGTCTTATTTAAGAAGAGGAGAATTGATTAATTTAGAGTCTGGATAATAATCAAATATCCAAATTTACTGTTAAGCACTTTGCTTGTGAAGCTCGAACGTGCATCAACACGACATGCCCAAAATATTAATCATTTGAGATAGGAAACCAATGTTAAGTCATATCAACCGACTAAATCAAGAGATCTATTCTTACCATCTCAAGCAATGGTTCAAATCAAAAGGTTGAATTGAAGCCGCTCATCGTTCTTGACGTAGTGTTTAATGTTTATATTGATATTAAAGGAATCTTTAGAATCAGTATTTTCTATCTATGCATTGTTCCTCCATTAAAAAGTTGTTATCGGAAGCTTCCTTAATATATTTATATTGACTTTCCTTTTATTTCTCCTGCAGAGGCGAGTGACCTGATCGAAAGTCAGCGGAGGATTATTTTAGAGTTGTGACTGTAGATTTATGCAAATAAGCGCTGGGCGCATGGTGCCAATGACTGGTTTGCCCTTTCACACCTCACACGATTCATCTGAATTGCATGCAACAACACACGTGCAATGGAGGGCGCAATTACATGCGCCAACATTGCTGGATCAAAAATACAAAATGATTAGCAAAATATACAAATAATACAAATATACACAAAATACTACGAACTAAACTTATACTAAAAAACAAACAAATACAGAATACGATGTATTAAAAAAAGCACAAATAAATAATACAAATGATGTAGGTGGGATAGAGCTGTTTTGTCACGATTGCATCCATTTCATGCCTTGGCCGCAGCCACTTAACATGCCATCCTCAACCGTTTACCTTTCCTGCTAACATGTAGGGACAACTCATAATAGTCATATGAGATGTATTCACCCTATTTTGTTTAAGGTGTTGAAAGACTGGTAGTAGAAATTGTCCACAATGATATCACTAGTGCTGACGTTTTTATTAAATTTCACATAGCCTTGTTTTACAAAAGTTGCTCTCATCCAGGGTTGAATGCAGTTTCGACCTCACAACATCGGCAGCGGGAGTCTAACCGTGACAAGCAGAATGTGAGCTTGATACGTTATCCACTCGACGACATTGCCACGAGTGCCCTTGGGTCACAGGGCATAAGTGAATTTCAAGGAAGGTCAGGCCTTTTGCCATATATTCTTTGTGGGATTGTCGATAAGGCAAACGTATATTTGCTATAACAATCGACTACGTTACTTATTTTTCATATTTAAGTTATAGCAAAAATACGTTTGCTTCATTGACAATCCCACCAAAGAATGTGATATCGAAAAAGGCCTGGCCTTCCTTGAAATTCACATCTACCCTGTGACCCCGGGGCACTCGTGGCAATGTGGCCGAGTTTTTACCGTGTCCAGCTCCCATTCTGCACTGTCACGGTTCGACTTCCGCTGGGGGTGTTGATAAGACCGATGCGAGGTCAAAACTGCAGTCCACCCTGGATGAGAATAACTTTTGGGAAAACAAGGCTATGTGAAATTCAATAAAAACGTCAGCTCTACTCATAACATTT